GGTTCGAAACAAAATGGCTGCCTTCTAGTTTGTTTTGACTCTTGTAATAAAACGTTTTTTACTTAAGTAATATTTACGCGTACAGCAAAACAGATTAAGAGCAATGAATTGCTTCAAAACCTGATGTGATAACTAACTGACAGCTGATCCGCAACGTTTCTATACTATTCCTATACCGTCTGCCTAGGAGACCGTAAGATACTACGATGGTGTGGCATTTTGGGCAGCTAAACTTGTAATATTTGTTTTGAAACGGGTCATTCACGCATTTTTAAACACTGAACGTGCCAACTGTTTTGGTAGATATTTCAAATATCCATATAAAAGTCGCCTGCGCGCGGCAAGCTATGTGCACCTGAGGAATTGGCTTAAATTATCAGATGCCGCAGAGTTGACATCTCTCATTTCTTTTCACCGTTTATCACTGCTTCCTATTCTGTGCAGTGTCAACAATCGCAAGAAACCCAGCTACTGTAAACCCTGACAGTTTTGCCCTAAAATACATAAATACATTACCCTAAATTACCCAGGTTTTTTCAGTCACAAGCAGGTGAACAACACAAGCTCTACTTGCATACAGTTTACTGCCAAAGATTAATTTTCAGAGCAAGCTTGCCTGCCTTGAAATCCACGATGAAACCTACCTACTGTCTTAAATCCACTGGCCCTATGTATCAGTTTGTGTCAGCTAAATGTATGTAAAACTCATGTGTTCAAACGTGATATTTCGAAAGATATAACATTTCACGTGAAGTAAGTGCAGAACAAGAATCGAGCTTTCACCGTACTCAAACTAGTTTACCAGGGTTTCGCATGGATATTAGCTTGGAATTACGAGATTGTTGATTATTGAAGATCTGTCTAATTTTCGTTTTCGCGTCGTTTCCATTAGTCAACCAGTGAAAAGGCAGTAATTTAATGCGAATCAATTAATCAAAGGCAGTGAATTAATGCTGATTTCGCTCAAGCTATTTACCAGTTTTCAGAAGTGAAGCATGTCTTTCAAGAGGAGTTCAAGGCACTTAACTGCAATAGACTAGTAGCAGAAGTTAAATTTTTAAAATTAAGTATTTCTAAATTAATTAAATAGGAATCATGACCACTAAATTCTGCAGCAAGGTGTATTCACAAGTCTTGCATCTTACATAAGTGGCAAGCCACCTGCACAACGGATCACACGTATAGTTATCACTCATTTAGATGACCAGCCCTGGATAATAATGGTATCATAGCTGTTTGCATAAAAGTGACAGCAACACAAAATTTAGCTTATACAAGGCACCGTCTGGAACTAAGATTACAACTTACTGAGAATGAAAAAAGGCTTTTTAGCACCACTCCGCTATGATATTAATAGTATATGCGTCAAAGTGCTTATGTAAAAAATGTCATAAGAAAACCTTTCTCGTTTAAACTTTAATTCTGTTTAAAAACCTTCTAACAGTATATGCAGTTGCAAGGCTTTCGCCGCGAGTGAATTGAGGCGGAGTCCTTGCACTATTTCTACATCTATTATGGAACATTTTTATATTCTTCTCCAGAAGACTACCGGTCATTAACAATATTTGTAATCGTTGGGTAAGTTTTTCTGCTATGCCGTAATTCCATAACCATTCTGTCAAACTGCAATGACTACAAGGAAAATACCTGTGGACTGGAAGCGGAGGTTCTAGTACCTCTGTTCAAAAAAAGACCATCGGACTGGTCAAATTATCAGGGTGTTAAATTATCCAACCTATTCGGAAATCTACGCAGAGATGCCACCGAATAGAAGAGATAACTCGACATTCAAGAACAGGTAAGCCAAAATACTTCTGACGATATCTTTAACTTACGCCAGATCATTGAAAAGTCGATGAATTCGCTAATCCGATTTACATGTGTTTCGTTGACTCGAAGAAAACCTATGACCGGAAACCGCACAAGTAATGACCGTGCATGCACACACGGAACTGATGGCCAGCTGTCACGAGTTGCTGTTGACAGCAGGTGTTGCATCACAGTAAATGGCGCTAAGATGAAACTTTTCAACGCTTGCACTGGTCTCAGCAAGGCAACGTTCTGTCCTCTATCCTGCTTGTTGTAAATGAATAGGACAGTCACGTGCAGCTATCACTGTAAAAGATGCAGAAAATAGGAGGCTACAATTTGGCCACTTGGTTTGTTTCCATCTCTGAAATTGAATGAAGCCCTTTCTGAAAAGGTGCGCAGCCGAATGGGACGTGGTTGGCACGCATGTGTAGGCTTCTAGTGCCAAAAACGTAGCGCTTTCTTCTCCCTGCTGCGCTCTGCAGATAAACACAGAAGCAGTAAAGCAAGTGGAAAAATTCACATACCTTCGGGTTGTGTACTGTGACGTGGAAAATGGGGAGCTCGACTGGCAAATTGAAATAGCCAGCAGCCTTCTGCGTGAAGTAACTCTAACGGTTGTGACTAAAGAAAAATTAAATCGTAGGACTAAACTCTGCGTTCAAGTCGATCTTTATCTCCATGCTTACCTACAGTTATAAATCGTGGACTATACTTAAAAAACGTCAATCCAGCGGCTGAAATGAAGTTTCTAAGACGAGTTTCTGGCCTCATGCGTATCGACGTGGCCCGGAGTACAGAAACTTCAGCGCTTTCGTTACAGACG